TACAAACAAATACATACATATCTATGATATAATCACAATCTTCATGAAGAAACTACATCCACAAGAAAAGTTATTGAACAATTAAGTTCCCTTAGTAAGCCACCACTGCAGTGCACCGCAGCCAATGCGTGTTTATGCGTGCGTGCGTATCTCTGTGTGTGTGCGTGTGTGTGTGTGTGTATGTATGATGTGTGTGCATATGCCTGTGTGTGTATGCGTGTGTGTGTGTGTGAGTGTGCGTGTGTGTGTCTTGTGTAAGAAGAAAGACGCGAAAAATGATTGAAACAGCTATTGCTCGAAGGGTTCAGGGGATCTCGTAGTCGGGCACTCTCGACTAGAGCTTTCTTACTTGTTCAGAATATTCTATTTAAAAAAAAAGAGAAATAAAATAATATTTTCATGATAAGTTAAAAAAAAAAAAAATTGTTTGTTTGCAAATTTTATAGATAGATTCTATATTCATGCTGACTAATCTATATTATTATTTGTTGTTCTATATTTTTAGGGGCATATTATAGAGATAAGATTTTTAGCAATTTTCTACAAAAATAGGTTTTTTAATCGTGCCACAGGTACATGCATATACCGGTTAAATCTCGGAACATATATAACTCATATCATAATATGTTTTATATTGAATAATCTTTGGCAAAGCTGTGTGAAAAAATAATTTTCTTGCTTCAGTTGGTTGTCGTAATCCTTGATCAAATATATGTACATATATGATCTCTTTTTCCCATTACTTCCGAAACTGTTTCCATGAGATCTCGCAATCGTGTCTTATATATATATTTTTAAGACTTTCTCACACTCTATACTCCGTTGATCCGATGAGAAATCAATTCCTATTTGCTAATCACACCCACCTTTACTCTTTCAGGTCTGCGTGATCACAGATCGGCAATACACGTACGCCCAGCTTCGCGATGCCAGCGCCGCCTTTGCCGTGCGCCTGCAGACCAAGTTCAAGCTGTTCAAGCCCGATATTCTTGCCATTTGTCTGCCAAACATGCCAGAGTATCCGATCGCAGCGCTGGGCGCTATCGAAGCTGGTCTCGCTGTGACTACAATCAATCCAATTTATACGCCAGGTAGGATCCGGGAGGGAGGTGCCAGCACGTGGGCGTCAAATCGTGTTCGTCGGAGCGACGTACTCGCGATAAGCTCACATACGATTAAATCTGGTTTAATTATCCCTTATCAGAGCTGGAATTGTTGAGTTAACGAGCGGGCGAGCGTAGTCCGAGTCCAAAGATCAGTGTACCAGATTACCCCAAATTATATTTGCGAGGTTATGAACTCGTCTCGAAGACTGACTGACGTACATCTGTCTATCAATTGTTGCTCTAACTGAGCTCTGCTCTAACACAAACGGATGCGACACAATATAAACAACTAAAAACACACGCAGGTCGGGAGCAGGGGCCGGGAGGGATTAAATGGGGGAGTGCCAAGCTCAGTGGGTTGACTGATAGTAGAGAGAGCTCGGCACAAGTTTAAATAATAATAATTCGCATTGAGTGCGAYATAAAAGAATTATTTAAGAGGCAGGGACAAAAATAGATCTATACGAATAAGAAATGCACAAATCGGAAAGGGGAAAATCGACACACAAAGGAGAATAACAGAAAGAAGAAGACCTCTGCCAAAGGGGATAGCCAACTGTCTAGATAAATCCTGCAAAAAATGATATATGGAAAACTATGATAATTAAACGAAAGTTAAAGTTTATATTGAGCAAGTGAACGTTTACGAATGCCACATGAAGAAGAATGCCAACAAGAAGACTACAGATTGAATCAGAGTGGTTAAAAAAGTCTTTACGATGAGAATATGAAATCGAATGATAGGAAATATGCGAAAAATACAGTCGAGTCTCGATAATTCTTACCACGTTAATGCGAAAATCGCAAAAAATCGAAACAAATTCTATCCCTAATTTGAATTTCTAGATAAATCGGAAGAATGGCTGATCCCCTTGCCATTTCGAACTGTCGGTATTTTACTGTACTTACCACATACAGAAAACCCAATCTAATCAATAGGGGATAAGGGATAAGGAATATGAGTTAGGTAATTGATTTCAGCAGGGGCTAATCTTACGCTTTGCTTTGCAGATGAAATCTCACGCCAGCTCACGTTCAGCAATGCCAAGTTCCTGGTGGGCAGCGTGACTGGCTTTGCCACGCTGCGGGAGGCCTGCCAGCTGGCTGGCAAGCAGATACCCATCGCAGTGGTGCGCAGCAGCGAGACGGAGCTGCTGCCGGCGGGAGCGATTGATTTCTTTGAGCTGATTAGCACGGAGAATGTGCGCTACGACGAGCTGTGCCCGCCGAAGGATGCGACGCCTGATGACATGGTCTTTCTGCCCTTCTCCTCGGGCACGACGGGGCTGCCCAAGGGCGTGGTGCTGTCCCACAACAACATCAGCAGCAACTGCGAACAGATACAGGATGCGCTGCCCATCGACTCACTCCAGTTCCAGGACACGCTGCCCGCGGTGCTACCCTTCTTCCATATCTACGGCCTCACCGTGGTCATGCTGTCGAAGCTGGGCAAGGGCGCCCGGCTGGCCACGTTGCCTGCCTTCAAGCCGGACGACTTCATCAAGGCTCTCGACACCTACAAGGGCAGCATCCTCAATCTTGTGCCGCCCATTGGTGAGCTGTTGCATGAAGCAACTCTACTCTACTCGCATACTGATTGAACTTTTGTTTCCCTTTCGCCGCAGCCTTGTTCATGATCAACCACCCAAAGCTAACGAAGGACCTGGCTTCAGCGCTGCGCGTTGTCATGTCCGGTGCGGCGCCCATTGGCCAAAACGACGTCGAGCGCTTCCTGCAGAAGTGAGTAGCGTGCCCAGCCGAGCTCTAGATAAGCCTTTATCAACCTGCCGTTATGATCCTATAGCCCCATAGTTATCCTTCAAATATCTTGGCCTATATGTTGAGCCAACTTTGTTAGATCTCTGAATTACGTCGTATCTATATCATATTATTCCACATATGGGTTATCTCAACCTGCCGTTATGATCCTTTAACCCCATTGTATCCTTCGCATATGCTCTAGGTCACATCTTCTTAATAATCGTCACCTTGTCATATAGGTTCAGCAGATTTGGTTAGATCTCTTAAGTGTGTCGTATTTATATCTTAGTATTCCTCATATGGGTTATCTTAACCTGCCGTTATGATCTTTGTTAGATCTCTGAAGTGCGTCGTATTTATATGTGTTATCCCATATGTGATATCCCAACCTTTCGTTATGATCCTTTAACCCCAAAGTTATCCTTCGAATATGCTTTAGCTCACATCTTCTTAATCTTCTCTACCTTTACCTATATGTTGAGCCAACTTTGTTAGATCTCTGAAGTGCGTCGTATTTATATCTTATTATTCCACATATGGGCTATCTCTTGGTAATCTCCAACTTGTGATAAACCTATTTACAGTTAACTGAAGCCCCTTTGTTTGTCTGACAAGATGCTCTAAAAATCACACCCGTAATCTTTTGATAAGTTGCTGATAGCGCTCATTAGTCTCCTCGTAAGCTATTACAGAGCCATTTACACATTGTTAATCACTTTCTTGATAAGATTCCGTGAATTACCTGATAAGTTTTCGTAAGCCCTTTTATAATCTCTCCATTTCAACTTCATGTTTGCCGCATTAGCTCGTAAGCTTGTTAAGGTTTTATTGATATTTCGATAAGTACTTTCGATATATAATGATAACTCATTTTTGCTTGACGAACTTTTTGTAAGTATTGTGAGTCAGGTGAGACGCCAATTATCAGAAAATCTCTCCTTTCGATTATTAACTAGAGAAACGATCTCTCACTTGGAATCTTCCTACATCAGGCTATATCAAATTTTATATATTCTGTGATCTGCTAACTTTCCGATCTATTGAAAGGTCTTTTGGGTCTTACCCCAACAATTTCAATGTAGTTCATAATATTTAACTGTCGGAAAATGTTTTGCTAAGCGTAGGTTAATCTCCGATTAGGCAAGATATATATTTTTATATGTACTATGCATGACTCTACATACGTATATAATCTACATAGCTAATCCCGTTTTCCCCTCGGCTCCTATAGGTTCCCGAACACGCGCTTCATGCAGGGCTACGGCATGACGGAGGCATCGCCCGTTATCCTGATGACGCCCGAGGGCAATACACGGTACGCCTCGACAGGTGTGCTGCCTGGCAGCACGGAGGCCAAGATCGTGCCCCTGGATGCGACCGATTCGAAGGGCGTGGGAGCGCGCATGACCGGGGAGCTGTGCGTGCGCGGGCCGCAGGTGATGTCCGGCTATTTGAACAATCCGGAGGCCAACGAACTGACCTTCTTTCCGGGCAAATGGCTGCGCACGGGCGATGTGGCCTTCTTCGATGAGGATGGCTACTTCTATATAACGGATCGCATGAAGGAACTGATCAAGGTCAAGGGCTTCCAGGTGCCGCCAGCTGAGCTGGAAGCGGTGCTGCGCGACCATCCGAAGGTCCTAGAGGCAGCCGTCTTTGGCATACCCCACGAGCTGAACGGCGAGGCGCCGCGAGCCATCGTTGTGTTGCGCCAGAACGAGACGGCAACGGCCGAGGAGATAGCCGCGTATGTGGCGGAACGTGTCGCACACTACAAGAAGCTCGAGGGCGGCGTCATCTTTGTCGATGAGGTGCCCAAGAATCCGACCGGCAAAATACTGCGCAAGGATCTCAAAGAAAAGTATTCGGACTGAGCCAGCCAATCTCGCAATCTGCTGTTTTTACATAGCTGTTAAACATCTATTTTATATGTCTTATTATTATTATTTT